TCCCTATAGCTTTCATTAGTTCTGTCCCATCTGTTCTGCCTGTGCAGTTTAGCCTCTATTCTTCAAGCCACATGGTTTGCTTAAATTGGATCCAAGATAATTTTTCCTACTCACAAACATAGGATCCCTCAGCACCCAAACAGGTTCACATATGGGGTCTCCAGGGGTGGAGAAAACCTGCATTCAATGAAAACATGGCATTCTCTTCTAATGGGCCTCCATACTGAGGTCGAACATAGGGGTCTCTCTCTTCGAAGGCATCTCCAGCTGTCAGGTGAACGCTATTCTTATCTTAATTGCAAAGAATGGGTGTAGTTTAGCAGATAAATGAAAAACTACTATTTAAAAGTGAGCTACATAACCTGCAATTTTGGCATTATTATTATCCTTAATCAAAGAATAATGTACACAACATGTGCTTGTAGCACACCAGTACACAGCAACACCACAGTTGATAATTGTCGGATTGGGCTTTCTTTGTTTCTCAACTGGATGACCAGCCCTTCTTCAGTCCATCTTTATACTGCCATTGTTTATCTTAGAAAACAAATGTGACTGTGGGTCTAGCCTGGTTAAAGTCAACCTCTGTCTACAAATTGAAGTTAAACTCCCTATCTTGGAAGATAAAACTCTTCAAAATCTTGCTCTGGCTTTCAGATCTCTGTTCTGATTCTTGATCTGATAAATATGCTCTAGTCACACTAATTGAATTGGTCTCCTGAGTTTCTCAAGTGTAATGAGCATGTCTTTCTCACTTCATATCCCTAGTATATATTACAGTGGTTTTTTTTTTTTTTTTTTCTTGGAGATTTTTTTGCTATAGGGTGCATGCGCTCACCAGAAAGACAGAGAGAGACAGAGAGATAGAAAGTGAGAAATCACCCCCCAGGGGGGATGGCCATGCTGCAATCCCTTCTCCTCCATTCTCCTCTTGGGATCTTGGGCACGTAGGCATATGCGCCCGGCATGAGTTTAAGCCACCAGGTCCGAGACTTGAACCGCGGTCAACTACATGGGAGTTCAGCGACATAGCCATTATGCTAACTGCTGGTCCCAATGTATTATAGTGTTCACTTCACATAACTAATACTCAATAAAAATATGCTAAATATCTAAAATTATACATGTATCTAGCTAGTATTCAATCATATTTGTTTATTTTCTAAATTAACAAGGTTTTATTTAAATTATTGACAAATGTCTCCCAATCAGTTACCTTTCAAGACTCAGAAATAAAAATTTCAAGAGTAAAAGTTTAAAAAGCATATAGAATAAATAACTGTTTTGGTTACACGGTTATGAATTAAGCACCTGAACTGCTAATGGAGTTTCTTCATCTGGCATCATATAATGGCATAAGAAAGATTTGGATCCATCTTTATTAATCCAAGAAGAAGATTTATGCTGCTCGACGAGATTTCTGATTTCTTTTAGTTTTTGCTCCAAGTCCAAAAGGGACAAAGAATGTTTAAGAGAAACACTAGAAAAAGAGAAAAGGGAATTGGGATAAATTGAAATTATACAACACATCCTATACACACTCTTTTCTTAACAGACTGTTCTCTGAAATTCTGTTTCATCTGGTCAAATCTGCAATTGCTGACTGGAGTAGGATTAAGAAATAGACCAGATAAAGATCATATTACAGAGCCAAGAAAAATCTTGTTCAAGATTTCACAAGAAAAGTGTTACTGTAACTATAGATAATACTAGTGTAAGTGGAAGGTAAATCCACAGAGACAGATTTTAAAGTAGGGGCTTTATCTTGTGACCCAAATATTTCTACTGTGTTTAAAGGTCAATCAACCAACAATGACATATTTCCCTTACGTATTAAAAGGTTGATACTGATGAAGAAAAAAGATTTCCCAATGCAATACTCCAGAGCAGTGCCTGTATTAGATTACAAAGAATTTCACAAACTACCATTTACTAAGTCATCAGCTTTACTAAGATAGTTCAGAATTTTCATTTATTCATTAGAAGCAGCAAGTAAGAAAAATTTCAGAAAAAGGCCTTACCTTCCTAAAATCTTTTGCACAGCTTGTTTAATGACAGTGATCAATTCCGTCAGGCCTATTATAAAACAGACAAACTTAAAAGCCTTACGCTTTAAAAAAAAAAAAATCCCTCAATTAGACAAATAAATAAATGAGTATACAGTTCACAAACGAGAATCTTACCATCTCCAAGGAGGTGTTGAATACTTGATAAATACTGTTGTTGGACATCTGGGGGAGCAAGAATTGTCTGTGAGAAACAGAAATATAATCAGGTTACCCAGGCTTTTTTTTTTTTTTTTTTTTTTTTTAAAGGTTTTGCCATATGGCATGTATGCTCACCAGAGAGAGAGATAAGACAGTGACAGAGAGAGGAAAACTAAGAAATTGCTTCCCAGGGGGATGGCCATGCCACAATCCCTTCTCCTCTCAGGATTCTGGGCACATACATACATGCCAGGTATGAGTTTCAAGCCATCAGGTCTCAGACTTAAACCATAGTTGACCATGTGGTATTCCCAATGCTCACACCTCCTACTGGCCCCATCCAGGCTTTTTTTTAAGTTTAAATTTGGTATTTATAGGTTTTTGCCATAGGATGGGCACCACCATGCCCAAATTTGGTATAATATATAAAAAATATATATAAAAATTGTATTTACTAATTAATTTTAATTAATTTTACTTAACTAATTACACAGCTCTTGTGTGTTTTTAATAAAGTGAAAGATTTAGATTGTGCTAAAAAATATCAATTTAGGATTCCAAAGTATATTTCAAGTATTTTTTAAATTATGATTTCTGAATTACATATTAATTGTTTTATATCTTTGTGAGGGACGCTATGACTTTTTAAAGCATGAATACACCATGTAATAACCAAATCAAAGATATAAACACATTCACTATCTCAACATTCAATGCTACACTATTTTTTAAGTAAGAATGGTTTTTAGTATAACTTGAGTTGAGATTTTTGGGATCCAGAATGACAGGAAAATCAATATTCTTTTTTTATTGTTTTTTTAAGGTTTTGCCATAGGGCATGTGTGTTTGCTGGAAAGAGACAGAGAAACAGTGAGAAGAAAAAGTGAGAAATTACCCCCCAGGGAAGATGGCCATGCTGAAATTCCTTCTCCCCAGCTCTCCTGCGATTTTGGGCACACATGTGCCCAGTATGAGTTTCATGTTGCCAGGTCTGGGACTTGAAGATGGTCAGCCATTGTGCCTTAACCACTAGGCCAACTGCTGGCCTGTAATATCCTTCAATATTCCAAAAAGTCCAGTTTCAAACATGAAATATACTCAAAATGTGTAAAGGTCACAGTCACATGAAACCTTATTTCATAGAAACTGTCATCAGGATAAATAATATTCGGTTAAACTCTGAATCTCTTGAAAGAAAGGGCAACATATATTTAAATCTATTAAACTTACAGTGCCATTTTTGCCAACTGCTGCATTATCCAGGTAAATATATCCACCAATTATGTTTAACTGGACTCGCAAAAGAACAACCAGCATACAAGTACTGTATACAGCCACAATACTTCTTGTGAAACCTTCACAGAGAAAAGAAGACTGTTTGGTATTGTTCTTAAAACATGCGTGTACAAATTCACTTAACCATCCCTATGATTTTTTTTCATAAGATGACTTTTAAAAATATATTGTAGCTGTTTCATGTGTAAAAATACATATCAATTCAAAATGTTTCATAACTAGTCTTCTGATGACTTGTTCAATGTAAATTGTATATGATCTCTTGACTGAAACAAAACTAACAAAAGAAGTCTAAAAATCAGTTCAGAAAGGCAAACAAGCAGGGACAGGGAAGCACTGACTCAGATTTGTCCAGGAAATCACTTTAGCGTGAAAGGAGAGGGATGACCACAGAACTCCAGCCCTCACTGGCATGGACAGGAGGATGAGGCTGTGTAAGGCCTAAGGAAGGTACAGAAAGAAAGACCTGGAGAGTAGGCTTCACAGTGGAGTGGGCAGAGAGCGCCAAACAGGAGACAGCAAGGACGTTCACTACTACCAAAAGGTCTGGTCGCAGGAAACTACCCAGTGGATTTAGCAACACAGACCTTATTACCAGGGCTTGTGAGATTTGCTTTGGAGTGGAGGGCAGGTGGCAATGTGTCAAAGAGTGCATCGTAGTAAAGAAAAGAAGAAAAGGAATGTAGAAATACTGAGTCTTAAAGATTATGAGAAAGGCAGGAGAACAGGCATAATTGTCAGTATAAAGGTCTGAGACATAAGTAGATATATAGGCCACAGTACAACCCTTGGTGTGAAATTCTTATCACCAGTGAAAACTGGCATACAATATCAAAGCAAATGTACTATTTGGGTTGGAGCAAAAATGTCCTTTAAAGTATAATATTAGAGAAATTGGTACCTAATATAGACTTATGTAATCCAGGATATAATTTTCCTATCATTATCATACCAATAACAGCAATAGCACTACCACTACAATTACCAAGTACTTCCTGGGACCAGACATTGATCTATTTTCTTTATGAGTATTATTTTATTTCATCATAATAATTCTATTAGGCAGGTGGAGAGTCAGCGACAGAATACAAATAGTTCCCTTTATAAATATTTGAAGGTGTGCTGCCACTCCGACTATGCAGGCTTACTTATTATCTTCAGATCCTCCCATATTTCTAGCTTGTTTGAAGGCCTAAAGAAAAAAAAATCAGAAGATATAAAAACAATAATGTACATAATTTAATAGAAAACATTCGACTTTATAGTCCACATATAATTAAAAGTTAAAATGATACAGGATAACTGCAGAAAACAAAGTCTACAAAATGCATAGTAAGAAGAAAACAAAGTCCTCTTAGTTCAAAAAAATTATATTTCCAGTAGACAATGATAACCATTTTCATTAGAATGTTCCCTTCCGCTCTTTTTCCTCCTTCCGAGCATTATCCAAACATGTATTAAAAATCATATGGAGAGATTCCTTATGGCTCCTGAGAACTAGTGATTTCAGGGAAAAATAGAGATGAAGATTTCCTACCGATAATTCAGCTTCCAGCCCACAAACTTGAGTGACGGGTCTAAGGGAACTATAGCCAAACATCCAAATACTATTTGGGTTAACATATTCCTCAATACCTACTGAATCTGCTGCACAAAGGGATCACAACGGAATGACAGAGAAATTCCAGATCACCTCTTTCTGCATGCTCCTGACTGTTCAGATTGAACTTCAAGAATTAGAAACACCATCCATCAGATGACTAGAAATCACCACAGGGCCACAAGAAATATGGGAAAGCAAGAAAATACCTCTCCTCCACAGGAAAAGAATAATTCCTCTTCATCCACAGGCAGTTCAATGGAAATTATGGAAATGCCTGGTAAATAATTTAGAATAGGCATAGAAGAGAAAATTGCTGTCCTAGAAAAATCCACCACAAAGACTGAGAAAATGGCCCCCAAAATGAAAATAATATATGAGAAATACTAGATACCATCAAATGTCCAAACATCTGGATAATTGGTATCCCAGAAGATGAAGAGACTCATAAGGGCATTGATAACTATTCTATGAAATCCTGTAAGAAAACTTTCCAAACCTAGAGAGGCACTCAAAGATCCGGTCCCAAGAAATATAAAGGACCCCAAATAGAATCAACTCAAGAAGATCTCCAAGACACATTATAGCCAGATTGACCAAAAGCACAGACAAAGACAAGATACTAAGACTGGTAAGAGAAAAACATCAAGTTACCTACAAAGGATATCCCATCAGGATAACAGCAGATCTCTCATTGGAAACAATTCGAGGAAAGAATGGGAAAATATTTTCAAAGTGTTAAGGGAAAAGCAATTTCAATCAAGAATACTGTATCCGGCAAGACTATCCTTCATGTAGGAAGAAAAGACAAGAACATTCTTAGATAAACAAAACTTGAAAGAATTTACCAATACCAGACCAAATCTCCAAGAAGTTCTCAAAGGAGTGCTATATCAGGAAAATTAAATACAGGCACACAGAAAAAATAGTTCAAAAACTAAGAAAATGGCCAACTTAATGTGACAAGTCTGGAGTTGAATATTGTATCCCAGAATTTAATCGAGAAAACTGAACCACAACAGAAGATAAAGTTCATGAGACTGAATTGGTGAAACAGAATTTTATGACTTTTGTCTGAAACATAGCTGATGTTCTTCTAGGCTTTGTTGTCCAGTTTTAAGGATTTGTGTCCTGCCTTGAGATGTTGATAGGTTCATGTACCTATCATTTGAACAGAATCCTACCATGTTTACTGGCTTTAAGTTTTAAACAAATTTCCTTAGGATTTCTTTGATTTAAGTTAAAACTGCTTTTCTTGAAATTACCAGCTGAATTTGTTATTGAAAGTTGTTAGATTATTTAAGAAATTGTGTGATCAATACATTGTGGGGGAAAAGGAATGGAAGACAACCGTAGACATCAGAGATAGTGTGAGAAGAGGGTGGAAAAGGACAGAGGGTCAGAAATAGGGGTTAAATACATATGTAACTAGAATTGGAAAATTTTTTATGATAACATGCATGATTAAGCCACTATGCAGTATATTCTGGATGGGAAATCACATTTTGTATACTGTGAAGATGCTTAGGGAATGAATGTAAATTAATTAGGTTAAAAAAAATGTTTTAGGAAAAATAAAACCCAAAACTGTTTTTCTTGAAATTAAAAAAATGCATTAAAATATCTATTTAATGACCACAGCAAGCTATATAGCCTCAGTTAGGTGCTACTTTATAGTATGTTCATTCTACTTACTGAGGTTTATGCTTAAAGTCTGACTTGTATTCATGGATATGTGTATATCAGTTGTGCTTGCTATTAAAAATATTTAGATTAATTAAGATCTTTAGTGAATCAATAAAGTGTGTGTGTGTGGGGAAGGCGTAGAAAGCAACCATTGATAGAAGAGACAAGGTGCGAGCAGGGTAGGAGATGGTAGAGGGTGAGAAGGGAATCAAAGATGGAAAAAAAAATAAATAGGAAATGAGAAATGGAAAATTATTTGTTGATAACACATATGTTGATGTGCTTGATTGAGACAATATACAGTGTATTCTGGATGGAAAATCTCATTTTGTATGCTGTAATGATATATAGTGAATGAATGTAAACAAATTTAAATAATAATAAATAAATAAACTAAAAAAATCATATGGAAAAGCAGAAAAATGTGCATTTTTCCCAATTTACTGGCTTATAAATAATGAAGTGAATTCTGTAATCTGTTCAATGTGAATGTCCTCGCTGTCTACTGTTTGGTACTCTGCCCTGGTCTACTATGAAGCCTGATCTCCAAGTAAATAATGTGGTTTTTTTGTTTTAAAGTAAAATGATACACATGTGAATGTACACACAGAAATGCTGTGCTTCAATGTACTGCAGGTATTACCCCTGAATCCTGCTGTTTTGAATTTTACTTTACTAGTCTTTGATAGCACCTATGCTTTCTGACATGAAAAGCCATTTTAGATTCATTGTGTTCAATTTTGGCTGCAGATTTAACAATCACCCATTTCTCCAACAGTCCTGGGAAATGGTAGCTAGACACTAACACCTTTGATCAGGAATGTTCACTGCTACTAAGAAGGTCATATTTCTTATGTGTTTTGGTGGACTATGCTAGTAAATATGTGTGTATATTTATTGATTTCAATGTGCATACATTCAAGGAGATAAAATACATCATGAATTCATACTGATAACTTCTACTTTGAAATAATTTAATTGATTTTGTACATGCATTTCTTTTGCTCTCACTAAAAATTGGTGAAACCAACTTTGTTCACCCTTCACTGTGTACATGGTCTTAGTATATCAATAGTTGGTTATAGTCACAATAGCTTCAGAAAAATAGCAATATTGAAAGGTTTAGCATTTTTGTTTGTTTTTCCAATTCTCTGTGTGCCAAGAATACATATCCTAATAAAAATACACATGCTGGGGCCAGCAGGTGGCATGGTGGTTACGGTGCTGGATTCCCACAAGGCCAACCATCATTGAAGTACTGGATTTGGCGGCTTAAAAATCACACTGTGTGTGTGTGTGTGTGTGCGCCCAAAATCCCAGGAGGAGAATGGAGTAGAAGTGACTGTGGTGTGGCCATCCCTCTGGGGGGAGGGAGGTGTTTCTCTCCAGTGAGCCCATTGGCAGAAACCTAAAAAATAAAACAAACAAACAAACAAAAAACAAAAACTATGCATACCTCATTTATTGCAATTCACTTTACTGTGCTTTGCAGTTTTTTTTTGTTTTTGTTTTTTTTTAACAAATTGAAGATTTGCTGCAACCCTGTGTTGAGCAAGACTTTCAGTGGCAGTTTTCCAACAGTATGTGCTCACTTTGCGTCTTTGTGTCACATTTTGGTAATTCTTGGAGTACTTTGAACTTTTTCATTATTAGGTCTGTCAAGGCGATCTGGGATAAGTGATCTTTGACATTACTTTGTAACTATGATTGCTGTGGAGCACCATGAACTGTGCCCACATATGATAGCGAATTTTACTGATAAATATTGTGTGTTCTGACTGCTCCACTGACCAGCCATTTGTCTCTCTCCCTTTCCACAGGCCTCCTTAGTCTCTAGGATACAATAATATTGTAATCAGGCCTTTTAACAACTCTATAATTGCCTCTAAGTGCTCAAGTAAGAGGAAAAGTTGCATGTCTCTCATTTAAAATGAAAAGCTAGAAATGATCGAGCTTAATGAGGAAGGCATGTCAAAAGCTGAGACAGGCTGAAAGCTAGGCCTCTTGTTTCCAGGAGAGCAGAAAGTGAATGCAAAGGAAAAGTTCTTGAAGGAATTAAAAGTACTACTCCAGTGAGCACACAAATGACAAGCAAAACTGCCTTACTGTTGATATGGAGAAAATTTTAGTGGTCTGAATAGAATATCAAACCAGCCACAGCACTCTCTTAAGGTGAACCCTAATCCAGAGCAAGGCCTTTCCTCGCTTCAGTTCTACGAAAGCTGAGAGAGGTGAGGAAACTTCAGAAGAGAAGTTCGAAGCTGGCAGAGGTTGGTTCATGAAGTTTAAGGACAGAAGCCTTCTCTGTAACACCAAAGTGCAAGATGAAGGAGGTAGTGCTCAGACAGAAGCAGCAAATCACCTAGAAGATTCAGCTAAGACAAGTGATGAACAGGACTACACTAAAAACAGATGTTTTCAGGGTAGATGGAACATCTATTGGAAGAAGATGCCACACAGGACTTTCATACAGAGAAGTCAATGCCTCATGTCAAAGCTTCAAAGGACAGACTTTCTTGTGAAAGTCTAATGTAGCTGATGACTGTCGGCAACCACCTTATTCTCTAGGGTGTGCAAAGTATGCACCAGCTTATTTACCACTAAAAATCTTAGGGCTCTAAAGAATTATGCTAAATCTATTTTGCCCGTGTTCTGTAAGTGCAACAAAGTCTGGATGATTGCATAACTACTGATAATATGATCTACTAAATATTTTAAGCCCACTCCTGCAAACACAATATCCATCCTGTAACCCATGAATCAAGGAATCATTTTAACTTTCAAGCCTTATTATTTAAGAAATACATTTCATAAGGCTATAACACTATAGATAATGATCCCTCTGATGGATTGAAAACCTCCTGGGAAGGAATCACCATTCTAGATCCCATGAAAACATTTGTGAT